GGCCCCCTAGAGGCCTCCTAGAGGCTCCACGAGGCCCCACAGGAGCCCCCAAAGACGCCCCACGAGCATCCGTAGCCATTTTGGCTCAAGGTGGATCTGACTGCAGCGCGCAAGCGCTCATCATAGTTGCCCATCACCATGCGGACCCCGCGACCAGACCCCTGGGGCCCGAGGCTGCCCACTTTTCCCAAACTCCCCCCTCCCCCCGCGGTGCCCACTGTGTCCCTCGGGGTCCTTCGGGGGGCTTTCGGAGGGCCCGAAGGCGCTCCCCAGACGGTCCAGGAGGCTTCCGAGACGGTCCAGAGTTCGTCAAGACGCCCATGATGGCTTCAAGACGGCCCGAGAGGCCCCCCAAGCGCTTGAAGAGGGCTTCAAGAGGACACTTATGAGGGCCGCAAGGAACACACATCGCCCTAATTCCTTTGGGAAGAGTCTATTTTGGGCATATGCGCTTTGTATTAATAGCGTCCACGACGGCCTCAGAGAACCCCAAGAGCGCCGCAAGACATCCCAACAAGGCCTCCAAGACGGAAGACGGTCCAAGAAGCTCCCAGGATCGCCCCAAAACGTCCCACAGAGCCCTCCAAGACGACCTCCGTAGGCGCCTGTGGATCCCTGAGACAGTCCAAGAGGCCCACAAGACACCTCACTCTGCACCCCTCCCCGCTCCTCCCAGATTCCTCCCCATCCCTCCCCGCTCCAGGCAAGTGTGCGCGAGGCGGTTGTATCGCTGGCCGCGAGATCCTGCCAGTGTATACCTACATGTACGACCACCCTTCGGGTGATAAAGAGGTTGTGCGTGTGGTGGTGGGGGTGAGGAAGGGGAACCAACTGGAGCTACAACATAGCATTGCATCGCACAGCAGAGCATAGCATAACATCGCATAGCATCGCACAAAACAGCATAGACGAGCATCGCGTAGCATAGCATAGCATAGCATCGCATAGCATGTCATAGCATCGCATCGCATCGCGTCGCATATACTAGCAGATCATCGCATGGCACAGTATGGCGTAGCATAGCATAGCATAGCATCGCATCGCACAGCATAGTATCGCATCGCATCACACCGCATAGCTTAGCCTCGCATTGATAACATAGCGTACTATGCGGGCCGAACCGTACAATGGCCGAAAGTCCGTCCAAACGGCGCTCTCGCCTCGGCGCGGGCAGCACACCGCCAGCGTCACCTGCACGCCGTGGCCAGCTTAAGTTTAAGAGCGAATCGTGAGGATGTCTCAGCAGAAACCGGCTTTCTTGGTTCAGATGGGCGGGCTGGGCGACATGGGCGAATCAAACGCACGTTCGGGCCTGCGGCGGCCGCCCGGGACGGTCAGGGCACCCACAAGGCGCGCGCTCGCCGTCGACGGCGGGGCGCGGCTGCGGGAGAGCAGCCCGAGGCGAGGAGGCCCTCCCCCCACGAGCGATGCCCTGGCAGATTGGGCCAGTTTGATTGCCGCCAGTTTCCGTCGAACGCGTGCGGATCAAGGGTGCGACGGTGATAACGGATCATTGTGCAGGCAGTTGCACGTCTCGTGGAATATGTTGCGGCGTTTATTTCCGTGTTTTGCGTCGTGAATTCTTGTTATCCGTGTCGCGCCTCCGTCTACTCACTCTCCTCCTCCTCCTCCTCCTCCCTCCTTTTCCATATCACGATCAGAATTATCGCGATGTGACAGGCCTCGCACTTGGGCAACACAAGGGGGTGCCGCCAGGGGATAATTAGGACACTTACCGGTTCGTGCCCAGATTGTGGGGATGTCTCCAGCGGTTCGCTTGTTTCACGGATGTAGGCGCGTCTTTTTCAGGGCCGCGTGGTGTTCGCGATGTCGCTACAAACGTTGCTGGGCGCCACAATGGGGAGCGACCACGGGGTGGGACATTTGCCCACTTGCGGTCAGCATTCGGGGATATCTCACGCGAGACGTTGGCTTTTTGAGGTGGGTGTACTTTTTTTCAGGGCCGCCACGAAGGAAGCGAATACTCGGATCAGTCCCGGCAGTCGCCGCGGTACTGGGAAGACCGTCGGATCGATCATTTCGTTGCCGATTTTTTTTGGCGCGTACTGTTCAAACCTTCAGGGTGGCCCAGTGTTGGCAAATTTTGCGCGGTGGTTGCACGACGAAGGTGGGCGCACCATAGAACCCTTCACGACAGCCCATCGTTGTAAAGATTTTCGTCGCGGAGCCTTGGACGCTCTGGGTCGTCTAGGCCTTGGATAGGCGTAGAGTGCGTGAGGGGTGTGCCGAAATCGGGCCCATTGAGCCGTCTTGAGAGGTACGTAGCTGTTTCTTATGTCTTGTTTCGCCGATCGGCGCGGGCCCCCGCTCCCTCCTCCCCAAAGACCAGATCTTGGCTGCTTAAAGCGGTTGCTTCAACCGGGTTGATCAAGCATTGGGGCCCGCCCCCCTCCTCCCCCGGGTGGACACACGAGCTGCTGCTGTACGTGTGTGAGTTGTTTTCTCGAGGCGCCCCCCTGGGAATGAAACAAAGGGTATGTGGTATGTAGGCAGCTGAAGTGGGATCATGCGGAATCCTATTTAGACCTGCGGCCGTCTGTATGTTTCATGGTTGCACGCCGAGTGGAACACGTCCACCGCGTCGACAACGAACATACTTTTTCGCGTTGCATGCCGAGTGGAATTCGTCCACCGCGCCCGCAACAGCTCCTCTGCCGCGTGGAATGTGATTCCATTGTTCCGCCAAAAAGGGTGTGGAAAGGAAAGGGATTGAAAGGGTTTGCTGAGAGGAGAATGCAGGATTAAGGTCGACTGGGGCTCATGGCGTGCATCCGTGGGGGCATAGAGGGATGGTGCGGTTTGCTGATTCATCATGATTGATAGAAGTCTTTCTGCTCTCCGATGCTGCGAACCCTAGACCGTCGCCGCATCTTGCTAGAACCAAAGCGCGCGCGCAGCGCGCGCGTGGTTCTAGTTTATGTGTATTGTCGCTCGTCGTCGTCGTCGTCGTCGTTGTCGCTCGCCCCCCATCTCTCACAACTGATCTAATGCCTGATGGAGGGCCCACATGTTGATTGCACATGTGAAGAAGGGCTTACGCATTGTCTTAATGTGCCGAGTTGGGCCCACGTATCTACTTACTATGCCGAAGAGGGCATCCGCATTGTCACATTGTCCTGCTATGTGGAGGAGGGTCCATCCATTGATACTGCCCTTGGTTGGGGGGCCAGGCACCGATTTCAAGTGTGGCGGAGGGCCCATCTGTTCATTTAGTGTGCGGGCTCACGTATTGATTCAACATGTGTGGCCCATAGTGTTACTCAGTACGTGGAAAGGGTCCTACCGCTTTGATAAATGCGTGGAGGGCCCACACTGAATGATCAACTGTGCCCAGGGATGGTCCCATGAGACCCCCCTCCGCACCCTGCTTCTCCTGTCCCTCGCCGCCCCCCGTGCCAGAGCCAGTGCACACGTGCCAGTTGCTTGGGTTGCCATTGTAGCCAGAGGGAAGACTGCGTATATTTCTGTAGATGGTCACAAGACAAACCACGCTGTAGTGGGTCTGGAGCGACGTGCCCAACTTCTGCGCGGGACCTTCCGCGCTGCGTAGATCAGCCAGGATCCCGTGGAGAGGCAGATATTCAGAATAGCTGCCCGTCTTGTTTCTCCGTTCGCGAGACCGGGATGATGTTGACGATGGTGGTGACGATGGTGAGTGATGATGATGATGATGTTGATGATGATGAGAATGATGATGGTGCTGGTGGTGATGATGACGATGATGATGATGATGACGATGGTGGTGATGGTGATGACGATGATGATGATGATGATGATGATGATGATGATGATGTTGGTGATGATGATGGTGCTGGTGGTGATGATGTCGATGATGATGATGATGACGATAGTGGTGATGATGATGACGATGATGATGATGATGATGATGATGAGGATGATGATGATGATGATGATGATGATGATGATGATGATGATGATGATGGTGGTGATGGTGATGATGGTGATGACTATGATGATGAGAGAAAGGAGACGGAGGACGAGGAGGAGGAGGAGGAGGAAGCTGAAAGGCCGAAAGAGCATCGGGCGAATCCGCGCCGCCGCGGCGGCCGGCCCCGCCCAGCCGCTCCCGCCCGACGGTGCGCCGAGCGGTCAGGGCGCCGCGTGGCGGTCCGCCATGCACGGGCCTCGGCCCTGGGCGACACCTTAGAGGCGGGGAGAGAGCCCCCCCAGCAGCGACTCCCAGAGGGGGAGGCCCCAGCCAGGGAGGTTGAGGGGAGCCCACGGGAGACTGCGCCGCCGAGGGGGCGTTGTTTTCAAAACCCCAGGACCCAGGGCCCCGAAACGACACGACACGACACGACACGACAGAGAATAGACTGCGACGACGAAGGACACGACACGACGGACGACACGACACGACACCGCGGACGACAGGGGAGGACGAGCCGCCAGGCACGACCCATCGCACAGCGAGTCAGATGGACGAGACCCCTGACCGTGCATGGACGGCGCACCCAGCGACCCCTTGGGGGGAAGGGGACCGCGCTGTTGGCGGCCATCCACCACAGGAGCAGGAGCTTGTCGCCCCTCGGGCCCAGCGCTCCCCGCCTGCGCCAGGAGGACCCTGGGTGCCGACCACCGGGAGGGGCCCCCTCGGGGCGAGGAGGAGGAGGAGGAGGAGGAGGAGGAGGAGGAGGAGGAGGAGGAGGAGGAGGAGGAGGAGGGGGGGGGAGCAGGAGGAGCAGGAGGAGCAGTGGGAGCAGGAGGAGCAGGAGGAGGACAAGCAGCAGCAGCAGAGAGGACACGCAGGACGACGAGGGAGAGGATACGATGAAGGAGGGTGAAGAGGGGCAGCGGGGCTCACGCTGTCCAGATTTCTCTGGGGGCCATGGATCCGAGATGCGACGAACCGCGACCAACACCTTCAGGTCCTCCTGCTGCGACCTGGCCAGGGCCTGGTGCGGCATGTGTGGTCGGTGCCCCTGGACCTCGGTGGGGCAGGGGCAGCACGGGCCCAGGCGTGGCCAGCAGGGCCCCCGGGGCGGGGCGCCACAGGTCTACACTTTGGAGCAGGTGTGGACGCCCCAGGAGCCCGGCGGCGGCCAGCGGGGCGGCGGCAGGAGGAGGAGGACGACGAGTGGGAGGAGGAGGCAGGAAAATGAGGAGGGAGGGTGATTCGGAGGGGAACGATGATTGTCAACGGACAGCAGACGGAGAATGACGAGTTGGAGGAGGAGGCAGGAAAAGGAGGAGGTAGGAGGGTGATTCGGAGAGGAATGATGATAGTGGTGATGATGATGACGATGATGATGCTGATGATGATGATGATGCTGCTGATGATGATGGTGTTGGCGATGGTGATAGTGATGGTGAGATGATGATGGTGTTGGCGATGGTGATGATGATGATGATGATGATGATGATGATGATGATGTTGGTGATGATGATGATGATGATGATGATGATGATGATGATGATGATGTTGGTGATGCTGATGCTGATCGTGCTGATGATGATGGCGATGGTGATAGTAATGGTGCTGGTGATGATGAGGGTGCTGGTGAGGATGATGATGATGCTCATGGTGATGATACTGCTGACGACGATGATGACGACGATGATGATGATAATGGTGGTGTTGACGATGATGATGATGATGATGATGATGATGATGATGATGCTGACGATGATGTTGATTATGCTGATGACGCCGATGGTGATGGTGATGATGGTGATGTGATGATGCTCACGGTGATGACAATACTGACGACGACGATGATGATGATGGTGGTTTTGATGATGATGATGCTTATCATTGTGAGGATGGTGATGGTGATAATGACGACGATCATGGTGATGATGATGTTGATGGTGGTACTGATGATGATGATCAGCATGATGATGAGGAGGATGTGGGTGAGGACGATGATGAGGATGAGGATGATGATGCTGATGTATGATGAGGAAGATGATGAGGATGATGATGGTGATGATGATAAGGGTGATAATGATTATGATGATGTGGATCATGACGTTGATGATGTTGTCGTCGAAGGTGATGACGACGGTGACGATGATGATGACAATCATGACGTTGCTGATGATGCTGTTGGTGTTTGTGACTATGATGATGCTGGTGGTGGTGGTGATGATGGTGATGATGATGATGATGGTGGTGGTGATGAGAATGAGGATGAGGAGGATGCGGATGAGCATAGTTATGACGACAATTATTGTGATGCCGATGTAATGAAGATGTTGATGTTGACGATGATCATGCTGGTGGCGATAATGACGAGGATGAGGATGCTCCTGATAATGGTTATGATGAGGATGATGATGATGATGATGATGATGGTGATGGTGATGGTGATGCTGGTGCTGCAGATGTGGATGATGATGCAAATGATGATGAGGATGAAGCGGAGTATGATGTTGATGAGGAGGATGATGAGGAGGAGAGGAAGGACGATGATGATGATGATGTTGATGAGGATGAGGATGATGACGAGAAGGAGACGGAGGAGTACGATGATGTTGGTGATGGTGACAATGACGATGATGAGGATGATGATTCTGAGCAGAACGATGATGCTCATGATCATGATGATGAGGGTGACGATGAGGATGATGGTGAGGATGAGGATGGGGCTGATGATCTTGCTGGTGGTGATGAGGATGAGGATGCTGATGCGAATGATGATGATCTGATGCTGCTTTGATGGTGATGATGATGATGATGATGATGTTGATGAGGATGCTGGTGAGAATGACCATGAGGAAGAGGGTGAGGACGAGGATGAGGATGATGATGAGACGGGTCGGGGATGAGGATGAGGATGGGGACGATAAAGATGCTGATCATGATCATGATGATGTTAATAGTGTTTATTATGATGATGCTGGTGATGATGATGCTGGTGGTGATGAGCGTGGTAGTTGCAATAAGGAGGAGGAGGCATGATCAGGATAGCAGGAACATCAAAGCTGAGGATACGGATGAGGATGAGGATGGGGATGCTGATGATGCTGATGACGATGATGATGATGATGATGATGATGATGATGATGATGATACTGATACTGATACTGGTACTGGTACTGATACTGATACTGATACTGATGATGATGCTGATGCTGCTGATGATTGTGATGGTAATGGTGTTGGTGATGGTGATGACGATGGTGTTGGTGATGGTGGTGGTGACGATGATGATGACACGGCTGCCGATGTTGATGACGCTGATGGTGATGGTGATGATGTTGATGTCGATGTTGATGCCGATGATGACGATGACGATGATGATGATAATGATGGTGACGATGATGCTTATGATGATGGCGACGTATAGTTATGATGATGGTGATGATGGTGATGCTGATGGTGATGATGTTGATGCTGATGCGGATGATGATGATGCTGCTGATGATGATGATGACGATGATGATGATGATGATGATGATGATGATGATGCTGATGATGATGATGATGATGACGATGCTGATGATGACGCTGCTGACGATGATGGTGGCGATGATGATGATGATGATGATGATGATGATGGTGATGATGACAACTGCTAATGGTGGTGATGATGATGATGATGATGATGATGATGATGAGGAGGAGGAGGAGGAGGAGGAGAAGGAGGGGGAGCCAGGAGGAGGATGGGATTAGCAGGAAGAGCACGAGGACCAGGGACGGGCGAGCGGGGGGGGGGCAGATGATGATGACCGAGGGAAGTAGGTGATGGGGGCGGCAGACGGGGCAGCATGGAGCGAGGTAGGAGGAGAGGGGGAGGAGGGGGGAGGAGTGTGCGCAGAGAGGCGAGTTGAGAGAGATGAGGAACGAGGGACGCGGGCCGTGTGACGCATATTGAACGGGAGGATGAGTGGGAAGCAAACTAGGCGCTCGAACGAGCCAGTAGGCCCCAATCCACTCCCACCCTCCCGCCCATGACATAGGATCTAACGTCGACGCAACGCAACCGTGGACAATTTCCATAGGGCTCCGCCACCTCGACCCTCGATGCGCAAACTCTGTCGCGGAGCGGACATGGCATGGAGTTGGACGCGCTTGCTCGAGTGGGATTGGCCAGACTCCCGCCGCGCCCGGAATCTGTGGTCTTCCATCCGAAGCCATCCTGACGTTGATCCAGCACGGGAATGACTTGCACAGGGACGCTGGAAAACGTGGCGGGCCCAGCCACTCCAGTTTTTCAAGCTCTGGCAAACTCATCCCAACTGTTTCGGGCTCCCTGCAGCCCCTGCTACTGGCCACTTCCACTTTCACTGAGTTTCCAAGTTCCGCTGTTCCCGTCTTCTCTGTAGACGGCGGGGATATCGGCAGGCCTTGGTTTCTTTGGCCTGTAAACGCACCGGTGGGCGAACGTGGGTTCACAGCGCACGTGCTTTTGAATGCTGAGGTGATCGTGCGCTTGCCACGCCGTCCCTTTCGGGCGCAGGGTCCCGCACGCCGCGGGGCTCTGCTTTCGCTGGACTTGACAGCAAAGACCTGCGGCGCGCCCACGCGGAGAGGACATTTCCAGGGAAACGTGCGCGTTGCTGGGGCGAGTGTAGCAGCTCGCTACCTCGCCAGCGCGGCCCCGCCTCCGACGACTTGGCGATCGCACGGCGTAAGCCGCATCCAAGTTGGACCGCATCAGGCGCCCAAGCGGGGGAGCAACTTCCAGGAGAAGAGCGCACGACGCTGATGGGGATGTCGACATCTTGCCTTTCGCGCGCGATGTGTGCCGCGCCCCGCAGTTGCAACGCATTGTGCCACGTGGGCAACTACACGTCCATGTCGAACGGAAGACGTGAGAGCGTTTGTTGCCTGGCAGAGTTGAAGTGCCCGCTTGAAATCCATGGCGGGTCGAAAGGAGCGGCGTGGGCGAATTGCATAATGAGCATACCTGTGAGACTATATGGCTCCCCTTCGGGTGAGAAGGACACTCGGGCGGCTGGGTAGTGTCAGTTCTCGGTTTCCGATGGCATTCGCGTCAGGAGGCGATGCTTATTTGGCGGATGATGTAAACTTCAGGCGAGAGATCGGCCTACAATCAAGCGCCATGAAAATCCGTCTCAGTGTTTATCGGCGCAATTCAGACGACTGGTCTGAACTGGGATGGGTCGTGAACTCGACCTCGTCTTCGTCCGCGCGTTAGGGGGGGGGCGAGTTGTTGCCCCGCCGCAGTTCACCGAGCGGTCTGACCTGAGGCGGGTCGTGAACTCGACCTCACCTTGGTCCGCGCGGTAGGGAGGGGGAGGGGGGAGGGGGAGGGGAGGGGGAGGAGGAGGAGGAGAGGAGGAGGAGGAGGAGGAGGAGGAGGAGGAGGAGGAGGAGGAGTAGGAAGAGGAGGAGGAGGAGGAGGAGGAGGAAGAGGAGGAGGGGGGAGGGGGGGAGGGAGGGAGGGAGGGAGGGAGGGAAGGAGAGAGGAGGGAGGACGGAAGGAAGGGAGGGAGGGAGGGAGGGAGGGAGGAAATGAAGACAAGGATGACAGGGCCTTTTAGGAGCTCTCTTGGGGCCTCCTCGGAGCCTCCTGGGGGCCTCTTGGGCACCTCTTGGGGCCTCTTAACGTCTTTGGGGGCTCTGGGCCCGTCTGACGCCTGCGGAGGCCGTTTTGGGGGCCCTCGTGGAGCGTTTTAGGTCCCTCTTGGGGCCCTCTTGGGAGGATCTTAGGCGATCTTGGGGTCCTCTTGGGCCGTCTTGTAGCCTTCTTTGGGGGCCTCATGGGCTGTCTTAGAGCTATATTTGAGGCCTATTGGGCCGTCTGGGGCGGTCGGAAACGCAAACAGGCGAGAACCTACCCAATGGAAGATCAATGTGATTCGCCTCGGTCTCTGCTGGAGGGCCTCTTGGAGCCCTCTCGAGCCGTCTTGGAAGCCTCTCGAGCAGTCTTGAAGCCGTTTGGGAGCCTCTTATGCTGTCTTGGGCCATCTTGGGCCGTCTTGGTGTCATCTTTGCTATCTTGAAAATCGTCTTGGAGGCCATCTTGGCCGTCTGGATGCCGAAAAGAGCGCCGCAGGGCAAATTCAGGGGAGAGTTATCAGAGGGACGTGTGCGATGAGGGCGGGGGCGGCCCTAG